TGCCGACAAATCATTGGTATTTATGGTTAGAGGATGCAGGAAGAAATTTAAACAACCAGTTGCTTTTTACCTTACCAGTAGTAGAATGACAAGCATTCTATTATCAGAAATTATTAAAAATGTTATTGAGGCTGTGCAATCAACTGGGCTCACGGTTATTTTGACAGTTTGTGATCAAGCATCCATAAATGTAGCTGCTATTAATAGATTACAAAAAAACACTAATAACATTTACAAAAATAATGGTCAAGAGTTTAAAGGATTTGGTTTTGAAATAGGAGGCCATGACATAGTTCCTTTATATGATGTACCTCATTTGATTAAAGGTCTGAGGAATAATTTAGTCTCTAAAGATTAACATTTTGAATATGAGGGGAAAAACCATACAGCTTCGTGGAAACATGTAATACAATTTTATGAACTCGACAAACTGCAAAGCACAGAAGGAGATCGTTTAACACCCAAATTCACTGACTGTCAGGTGTATGCAGCTAAACTGAAAAAAATGAAAGTGGCTATGCAGCACAAGTTTTTAGTCAACGAGAGTAGTATGTGTTTGGGGAGTTTGGCTCCATTTTTACAGGGAGATGAAAAAAAATCAAGGGAACAAATTCCACTTACAGTGCATCCAATCTCCCTGTAATTTCAAAACAAAAATTTAAATGTTTAACCAGTTACATTATTAATTGCCAGACATGTTAAATAATACATAATTAATTTGAAAAATATTTATATATATATTTACATAGGTAACAATCCCGTAACATACAATTACTTAAGATTCAAGCCAGAGAACGAATCGGAACAAGTGAAACTTGAGTCAACTAGAATTCAACCAGTTAACGAAACCATTAGCACTGAAAACCAAACCTTAGACAAAAATGACGATATAACTACTAGAGTAAATAACGAAAAGATAAAATCTGAAAAGAATATTACAACTGAAAAAATAATGGTTACAATATCAAAAAAGGGGGAAACTATCTACCCATCGAGCTACATTATAAGATTTAAAATAAGAACCACAGAATCGCCAATATTTAATGACAGTTTCGCGAGGGAACGAAGGAGATAAATAAAAATAGTACAGAAAACCCAATAAGCAGTTTTGTGCCATAGCTTAATTTAGTTAGATGATTTATCTAGATAAAACAATCGTATTTTGTATATTATCTAGATAAATTACTTAATCGGTATCTAACTGTTATCTAAGATATCTAAATGAATTTATCTAGATTATTCACAAAACGTAGTCGTTGAAAAATACATTAACATCATATTTTCCGATATTATTTTTAAAATTGTTTATGGAATGAATTATACGTATACATATAATTAGGTACTTCAAATTATTATTGTCGCTAACGTACTGTAGTAGAATAAAAATAGAAAAAGAAAAGAGAAAAAAGAAAGAGGGCCTTAAGTTGGGGGCCAATTGTAGTAGAACAAAAAGGAGAAGAGTAGAAAGTGGATGGTAATGGGGTAGACTACGTGAGGTGTGTGTGTGGTTATTCGATCTTTACTCTACTACTAAATAATTTCGTTATTTTTTAGGATATTAGTTAATACGTCGTGATTGGAATAGAAATATGATTAATATCACTTACCTCGTTTGAAGCAGGTCGATGTTCTAAGTTGTAGATATTTTCGGCAGTCTGAATGGTTGATCATGGTTCGATGTGCAATATTATTGCAAACTCTATTAGACTATTCGAGACTCTATTAAGCTCTATTTGAACTCTTATATTGTATTGATGGATAATGGAGTTTGAAGAAAAGTGTGGATAAGAAATTGAACGATAGGTTTTATAAATAGTAATAAGCGGCTTCTATATGATATAATCACATATGCGAATTCAAATCAATGAGACCACAATAGGTGTATTAAAATAAGCGTGACTTAATGAAAAGAAATGAGAGAGAAAAAGTACTAATTATTATTTAAGGTTTTCTTTAAAAGAAGATCTATGGTACTGGTGGGATGCGTTGCGAGCCTTGCGTGCATGAGAAGAGTGAGTCGGCATGATGTCATGCGACGTAAGCGTCGTACATGTGAGAAGACTAAGAACCCTACTGGTCGTGTGTATGGAAAGAGACTGGGACTGGGACTGGCATAGTGGCATGGCACTATAGTTGGGGCACCGAGAGAACGCTACTGGGCGGCGACCAAAATACGTCCGTTTTCGCGCATTCCCACCACTAAATCTAGCCGAATGCTGGCCGCCGTTAATGCGCGCCGCCGCCACCGACGCCGCCTGCTACCGCCTACCACCACCGCTGCCGTCGTTCTGGTCACGTGTTATTATAGTGGTGGTGTTGTATACAGCGTGTTCTATAGCGATTTCCCGTATCTCACGTTTTGTCATACATACAATATTCATCAACTTTTTTTCTTCGCGTTTTTTTAGCATACCATTGCTTATAACTTATAAGTATTTTTAGTATTGTGTATCTTACTATCTTAGAGTACTTAATACACCATGGATCTCGTCGATATATCACCTTCCAAAAAAAATCCTCGTGGAAAAGTAAGTATTATTATTATTTTGTATTATTATTTTTCTATAGCAAATTCTTAATTTATTAATTTTATTAATTTATTATCCTTTAGTTTGTTGGTACTGGTCAAAAGCAAATAATCATTAATCTATACAAATAGAAGATCAAACAACAACAAGAAAACCCAGACAGCCCCCAATTGACCTACAGACAAATGCTTTTAGCAATCTCTAAATCAAGCGGTATTGGGCAACGGACAATACAAACGACATTGGCTGAATATAAAACAAAAGGTAAAGTTTCATCACCTAATAAAAAAAAAATTAGACCTACAATACTTGAAAAAGTAGATAGTTTTGACAAACAAACTATCAGACAGAAAATACATAGCTTTTGGTTGAACCGTGAAGTTCCTACTATAACAAAAATGTTGGTAGCTATTAATGAAGATGAAACTTTACCAAACCTCAAACGTTCTTCATTTCGTAAAATATTAAAAGATTTGCATTTTGTTTACGCGAAAAAATCCCGCAATAGTGCGCTTATCGAAAGAGAGGACATAATTATTTGGCGTGGTAAATATTTAGATCAAATAAGAAAATACAGATAACAAAACAGACCAATATACTACCTTGACGAGACGTGGGTAAACGCAGGTGAAACCCATAGCAAAGCATGGCACGACAGTACGGTCAATTCACCGCGTGAAGCATTCCTCACAGGGCTCACAATGGGACAAAAGGAACCCTCGGGAAAAGGCAAGAGACTCATTGTGTTACACATAGGATCAACTGACGGTTTCGTACCGGGTGGCCTTTTATGTTTTGAGTCAAAAACCAACTCATCGGACTATCATGATGAAATGAATGGCAGTACTTTCTTTGAATGGTTTGCAAAAATTCTGCCGTTACTTAAAGAAAATGCTGTCATAGTGATGGACAACGCATCCTATCATTCTGTGAAAAAAGATCGTATTCCAGTGATGTCATGGAAAAAGCAGGAAATAATAAATTGGCTAAAAAGTAAGGGCGAGAACATTACTTATCCAACAACAAAAGGGGCATTATTGTCTCAAGTCAGAACAATACATACGGATGACCATGAGAAATACGTTATTGATGAGTATGCGAAAGATAACAATAAAACAATATTAAGATTGCCCCCGTACCACTGTGAGTTGAATCCTATTGAACTAGCATGGTCGTCTGTTAAGAGGTATGTCCGTACTCACAATACTACCTTTAAATTAAAAGATGTACAAGAATTGTTGAAAAGAGGCGTGGAACTAGTAACACCGGAAATGTGGACGAATTTCGTTGAACACGTCATCAAGGAGGAAGACAAATTTTGGAAAATCGACAACATAACAGACGATTTTATGGACGAAGAACCTGAAGAAGGAGCACGTCATATCCTAACAATAGGTGATACAAGTTCGGATTCTGACTCGGATTAATTTCTTTGTATATGAATTATTTTATTTCTTAGTATTATTTTTAAGTATTATTTTTTAGTATTATTTAAATTTTATTTTGATCAAATATATGTTGGAATAAATAAATACACACATTTATAAAATATTTATGTCAGTTGTCAGGAGTTATTATTTTCGTTTTACTTGAGCCGCTGTATACAGACACTTGTTGCTGCTCGGCGGCGGCGGCTGTCTAATTAGTTGACGATCATTGAGTGGGGGAAATTACGGCGGCCAATGGTCACGGAAACACGGAGCTCGTTCATTTAGATGCGCGAAGGAGTTAGTGGTGGGCAAAAACCATCGATGTTCTTAAAACATCGATGTTTTCGTTCGATACATCGATGTTTTACCATCGATTTTACCCATCAAAGTATCGCTTTAAATATCGATGTTCAGAGTTCGATGTTGATAATATGTTGATAATAGTACTGATAAGAGGCGCTGTCTCTAGACGCTCGTATTAATCAGTAAGTTATTTTTAGACAAATAAATTCAACATTCGAGTGGTTTCCGTAATCAAACCGTAATCAAACAATAACCGAAATTATGGTCATCGATTATCAAACTAGATGCACGGTATAGTTTAGGTTATAGTTTTATTATTAAGACTTATAATTATTTATAATTATTTATAATTATTTATTTTATAATAAGTACTTCATATGAGTTTCTATAATATTTGAGAAAATGTCAAAAAGAAGTGCTGTTTGGAAATATTTTGAGAAAAATAATGACGGAACATCGACATGTGTATTATGCTATAAGAAACTTAAGACATCAGGTAACACCACAAATTTAAATGGACACCTAATTAGTATGCATAAGTCAATTATTAATCAAAAAACACATGATAGTAATAAACAAGACGTAGCTGATGATCCAGGTGAGGCTATTAATACTAGTGTTCCGAATACAGATAATGTCATTACATTGCCACTTCCCTATCAAAATTTTAAACGTCAAACAAACATAAAACAATCATTCAATAACATATCAACATAAACTGAAGGTGGAGTTAAAGACAGCAAAATAACAAATTTAATTGTTTATATGATTTCAAAAGATAACCAACCCATTTCTATAGTAGAAGATAAAGGTTTTAAATTATTAATAAAATCATTAGCACCACTCTATAAAATGCCTAGTAGAAGGAATGTCTCAAGAAAAATTGATGTGAAATATGAAGCATTGGCAGGTATTTTTAAAGAAACGCTTTCAATTTCTAATAATTTTTCATTAACTACAGACATTTGGACAGATATACAAACACGTAGTTATTTAGGTATCACCGTTCACTTTGCTAATACCTCCACGTTCACATTAAAATCTGGTATACTTGGAGTTTATGACCTAAGTGAAAGACATACATCAGATTATATAGCAGTTAAATTAAAAGAAGCCTGCTTTGAATGGGAAATTCCTATGAATTCGGTCACTGCTGTAATTACAGATGGAGCAAATAACATGACAAAATCTATAGAATTAGCTTTTGGAAGAAATCATCAAATTCCTTGTTTTGCTCATACAATTAATTTAATAGCAGAAAGATCACTGTCAAATGTAGCTGAATTGACAAAATTAATTTCAAATGTTAAATCAATTGTTACCTGGTTTAAGCACAGTGTGGTTGGAAGCGATGATTTAAGAAAATTGACAGGCGGGGATGGTAAATTAATCCAAGAAGTTTCCACTCGTTGGAACAGCACATTCTACATGTTACAACGATTTATATCTCTACGCCCATTTGTAAATGAAATATTAAATAAGAACATTAAAGCACCTGAAATGATATCTGCACAAAGTGTATTAGACATTACAGAAGTGATAGAAGTTCTTAAACCTTTGGAAGCAGCAACAAGAGAGTTGTGTGGTGAATTTTATGTCACTAGTAGTGTAATTATCCCAATGACTCATTTATTATATAACAAAATAAATCAAACTAAAACTACAACAATCATAAGTTCAAAATTAAAAGTTGCTTTATTAGAACAATGCCAAAAGCGTTTTGAATGCATAGAAAGTGTAACACAGGTAGCAATTGCCACTATTTTGGACCCTCGTTTCAAAAAGATATACTTTAAATCATCTATAGCATTATCCCGAGCTCTAAGTATAATATCCGATACATTGAAAACATCAACAGATCAAGTAGAAAGTATTCCACAACCAGATTTAACAGGTACTTGATTTAATAATACAAAGTTATTTGATTAATTTATAAACTTTAGGTATGTTAGTTTTATTTATAATTAATCATGGTATACTTTTAAATATTTTTTATTAGACCAAGAACAGAATACATCTGATGGATTCAGCTTATGGGATAATCATAACGGCTTAATGCAACAAACCAACCAGGAATGCATTGAAACGGAAATTGGATATCCTTCAGAGTTGTGCCTATATTTAAAAAGCAATCTAGCAAATTTATCAGAGAAACCCTTAGAAGTATGGCATAACATGAGTACTGTCTATCCAAATCTATCTAAACTTGCTATTAAATATCTCTCAATAGTTGCCACCTCTGTGCCCTCAGAGAGGTTATTTTCTAAAGCCGGGTCAACTTTAAGTACTAAAAGGAATAGAATTACATGTAAAAGACTTCATAAGCTATTATTTTTGCAATCACTAGATGATAGTTTATGGGGGATTTGATTATGTTTATTATTTACTATTAATATATTTATATTAATATTTAATATTATTAATATTATTTATTTATTTATTTAATTTATATTTACATTTATATTTTTATTTATTTTTTTATATACATATTTCTCAGGGTTGACATGTTTAAAACATGATTTAAACTAAGAAAAGAAACAAATTGTTCATAGTTTTAAACGTTTTAAACAGCAAAAAAAAATCATTTGTAATAATTCTTTTGGATACTAACTTTGTTTATTATCAACTAAATATAAATCCGTGTTCAATATCAAGTTTAAAGACATTTTTAACATTTGAATCCCTACTATTTTACAAAATTTAATGAGTATATTCAATTTTAAATTTAAATTTTTTGTACCATCGAATATCGATTATTTTAAACAATCGATATTCTTATGACTTAACACCGATAGTTCAACATCGATAGCTTCATACATGAAAACAATCGAACATCGATTGTTTAAAATATTTGCCCATCACTAGAAGGAGTAGCGTTCTCTCGGTGCCCCAACTATAAGACTGGCGATGGGAATGGCTCTGGGACCGAGACTGGCGTTGAGACTGGCGCTGTGTGCCCGTTATATAGGTAGCAGGTGATGCCCCTTCTTCAGGTGTCTGTAGCGCAGCATTGTGCGTGGCAGGTAGTTTTAGAGATTCGAGCATTCGCGCATGCCGCCGTATGCTCGCATTGTGACGCATGTATTGTTTGAAGTAATAGCTTTGTTATTGATGGTTTCGTGATATTGTGGCTAGTTGTGTCATCTCCGTTGGCTGCGCTACAGTCTCAATCGCCTTGTTGTTGTGGAGATGCCGATATCTTGCAATGGCGGTTTCATCAAACGTTTTAAAAAACAGTGATATGTAGATTTTTAATTGGTCTGGATAGTTTTGTTGTGTCTGATTGAAGGAAACAATATTATTTTATATTTCTGTGGTTATTAATGCTCTGCTGTCGATTCTATTAGTTTTAATTATATGCGGCGTTATCCTTTCTTTTGTGGCTTGTGTTTTGACGGATATATGTTTCAGTACCTTAATATCCTTATGATCGAAGAGAAATAATATTATTTTGGATTTTCGTATTTTTTATCGTTCCATTGTTGATAATATTATTTTTAATTGTATGTGGCGATATCTTTTCTTTGGTGGCTCGAGCATAGATATGGATATGGGTTTCCGTAATTTAATTGTAGGAAGGTAAATTATTTTATATTTAATTGATAGCGCTTATATTTATTATACCCCTATATGGTCATCGTTGGTGTTGATTCACATTGTGTATTTATTTATGTATAGTGTAAAAATATAATATATTACAGTACAACACTTTTATGAAATTAATAATAATTGTTTTGTTGATCGTCGTCAACAGATAAGAGTTGTGTAATAATATTAAATATATTAAATAATTCAAGTGTGATGTTTAAAAATAACTGGACAGTACTAGGATTATTGATATTATTATAGTTTAAATATACCAATAACTAATAAGAGTAAGCCACAAGCTAAACTCCCCACTTTTCAGAAATAGTGTAAGTATTGACATTGTTGTTGACATGATCATTAAAATTATTAAACACATTTTACAGATAGTTATTGGTATTTTAAACTAAAATTATATATATATACTCTATAACCAGAATAACCTTGACACTCGACCGACGAAAACTTGTCAGGTTCACGCATGTCTGTTGCCACGGTGAGCGCTGATGTTTGGCGTGCCGCAGGTGTCTAGTGAACAATAATATCACACATATTCACGATTCTAAGGTGCCACAAGTGATTTACACGTTCATTTAGTAGCACGTCAAAAAACTGCTCACCCTCCATTATTATTTATTTGCTATTTTTTTTATACTTTATTGTGAATTCGACATGGCAAGCAGTTCTAGCGATGAATATGCTAAATATGTCCCATCACCAACTAAAAAACATAAAATGGGAAAAGTGAGTATCAATATAATATAAAAAAGTTATCATAACTTTTTTTTAAATTTTAAAAGTATTTAAATAAAACAGTGTTTGATTCTCAATTGTAAATACTTCCTCTAAGACAGCATTTTTATGAAGACTTATTTTTTTAAATATTTATATTTCGGGCTATAAGTGAAGAAGAAAGAATTCGAATTGTAAATATGTACAAAAACATCATCATGAACGAACCTAGCATCTCCGTTAGACAAATTCGTAAGCAAATATCGTGTTGTATATGCATGCCTGTGCGTATGTATATGTATATGTACTGTGTATATATGTATGTACTATGTATGTGTGTATGTATATATGTGCGGAGGTGGCTTGCATATATATATAACGCTCAAATGTGTTGACACAGGATAAAATGAGTGTGTGACCGATTCGGTTCTCACGATGGTCTACCTGACCAAAAAGGCTGGGTCAGCACATACTGAAGGCCTCGGACGGACCGTTGCAACGCGCCCCGTCTGTGGGTCGTTAGTCAAGTCTGATCTAAGAAGTGAGTGACACCCGCGTTACTCAGCAGAGCATCTTGTTATTTGTATAGCAGAACCTCGTATAGTTTTAACCAGATCCTCTCGTAATATTAGTATTTAAATATTCATTTCTTTAGTGTGTAATTCATTTCAATATTCATTTCTTTAGTGTTTAATTCATATAAATATTCATTTATTCAGTGTTAAGTTAATAAATCAGTAATTATAATATAATATATATACCTATAACCAAAGTAGTATGTGTTTGGGGAGTTTGGCTCCATTTTTACAGGGAGATGAAAAAAAATCAAGGGAACAAATTCCCCTTACAGTGCATCCAATCTCCCTGTAATTTCAAAACAAAAATTTAAACCAGTTACATTATTAATTGCCAGACATGATGTTAAATAATACATAATTAATTTAAAATATTTAGTTAGTTTTTAATGAACCGTTGATCAATCAAGT